GCCTTACTAGTAGTAACAAGAAGCGAACGTAGAAACAAGTGCCTTACTAGGAGCAAGTGATGTAACCAACTCCGTCCTGGATGGACTCGAGGTCCAAGGTGGACTTGCCACCATCCCCGAAGAGTCCTTCCACGTCCATTTCGGAAAGGTCGAAAGGAAAAAGACAGCGCTCTTGCAGTGCTACTGCTCCCTTTATAAGCTTTCTTGCCATCAGGTGTTTAGATTCTCGGCAATGTTGATTCAAGCTTCTTTGGTATTTCTTGTGAGACACCGCAGTCCTAGTAGCCCAGTGGGAGCCCCGCGAGGCATGTTTCTTCGAAGGCAATGTATCTCAAACAGCAACGTCAAAGGGCTTGCAGCTGGCTCACAGCAGGGTATCGCACACACATATCCTTTTTCTTGTGTTCAAACATCTTGGCATTTTGCTATCTATATAGCTGTCTGTAGCTGTGCTTTGTTGATCCAGAAAATGCTGAAATTCTCGAGTCAACGATCTCCGACAGTGAATCTCTGAATGAAAACAATGTGACTCACATGCGATCATGTTGGACCAGCACGCTCAATCAGCACGGTGGTCGGTCTTCCCCTCTAGCCCACACATCTGGGGGCTAGAAAAGGCCAGAATTTGGCATCAAGACGGCTGGTGTATCGATCTCCCAAGCTCAATCCAACAAATATAGAACCGTCTAGCAACGCTGTCGTGATGACCTGGCCAACTTACTGTAGTCAGCAGGCTTCAAATGCCCGGCTACGGCGGTTGCTGTCCATTGACAGCGCCAAAACTACATTAAAAGTCTCGTCACTCAACATCAAAAGGGCACCAAACCAGTGTCACATACGGAACCTCCAGCTCAAGGCTTTCAGTCAGGTTTACATCTTCGCCTTCTGCTCTAAGGTCGCAACACGCCATACTCGTTTCGCGGCAACGGGGCATTTAAAGAGATGGAAATCACCTGCGCCAGCACCTGCATGGATCCAATCAAATTCTTGTTTCCGTAATCACCTCCTGATGCGAGCTTGTTGCTAGTAGCCACTTGCGAGGCCAGGAGCCCCTAGCGTCCTTGCTCCTAGTAGCGATGCCAAGAGCCCCTAGTAGCTTCCTGATGCAAGTAGCGAACTTCTTCCTTACTTGATTAAGTAGCGGGCTTTTAAAGGACAACCACTCTCCAAAATGGGCACCTTTCGGGTATCTCGCGGGTCAATGACTCCATCATCAAAAGCACCTGCAAGGGCCAAGGCTGTGAAAAGAAATGACGAAAAAAACGTCTGTACATGTTGGATGAGATGGCCTCTAACCTGATAGCGATGGCCTCCAACCTACTAGAGATGGTGGCCTCCAACCTAGTAGCGATGGCCTCCAACCTACTAAAGATGGACTCCAACCTAGTAGCCATGGCCTCCAACCTACTAGAGATGGCCTCCAACCTAGTAGCAATGGCCTCCAACCTAGTAGCGATGGCCTCCAACCCAATAGCGATGGCCTCCAACCTAGTAGCAATGGCCTGCAACCTGCTAGCGATGGCCTCCAACGTAATGGCACGATGACATGATAGCTGGTGAAGGAGTCTCTCTGTCTTTCGCATCGCCTGCTGAGGAATGATAGGCAGAATTGCTGCTCTCGATGCCGTCGATGATGGGCCTCAGGGACCAGTGATCCACACGTAATCCGCACGTAGCCCCGTTCGTAGCGTCCTTGCTCCTAGTAGTAAGGCCAGGAGCCCCTAGTCTCGTCCATGCTACCACTTGAGATGAGAACTTCTTCAGCATTTTAACCATCTCGTCAGGCATCTCCTCGCAAAGCCGACAGCGCCAGAATGTGCAGTGCTGCGTGGCAAATTCACAGCAGTGCTGCAGTCCTGTTGCCCATCTCGCTTTAAGGTCTTTTGCTTCAGAATTGCAATGACCTGGTTCAATGTCTCAAAGATTTTGGGTGCAAATCTGAACCTGAGACCCTCTCTGGTCGCTTTTTGGACTCATGACTTCGAGACTCCCCCTTTATCATCGAATTTTCCGGGTGGACTTCGCTTGCTGAATCACCGATCAAACCATGCTTGGCACTTCGGCCCACTCACCGACTGACGGCGGAAGGCACCTCAGCGGCTTGTTCTCCACCCATGACTGAAATCCTTGGAGCAATATAAGCAACAATTAAACTTTCAGCCTAAGCACAAGGAACCTAAGAGCGATGGCCTCCAACATAATAGGGATGGCCTCCAACCTAACCTAGTACATTGATTGTAGTGAAGAATCGTCAAAGGAATCAACATGAGATGATCCCGTGTAGTAATGTTGCAGTTTGTATCAGATTCATTTCTCAACCAAACTCTGAAAGTAACGCCACACTGGTGGCGCCTTGGTTCCGAGTCGCTTCGCATTCGGCCAAAGGAAGGTGAAGCGTGTCCCGAAGGCCGGCCTTGAGCAAGCAAACGGTGAGCAAACGGAAGGAGGCGCTGGTCTTGGGTGGAGAGATGAAGGTAAGACCTTTTTTTCCAATAGCGAGGGCCTCCAACCCTACTAGCCATGGCCTCCAACCTAGTAGCGATGGCCTCCAAGCTAGTAGAGATGAATATGATGAATGCTGCCCCAAGACCCAGCCATTGCATAGTTCCCCGCTCCGAAGCTACCACCACACCTGAGGAGCTTGGGACTGACTTTGGATCTCACCTCTGAAACTGAGTTGTGTACACAACCGAGAATTTGGGCACAGGCACATTACTCACCTCAAAAGCAGAGCGAAAGCGGAGCGTTGCCGCGTTGCCGCGTTGCCGGACGCCGTCCTGAAGGCCTGGGTGCCCTCACAGCATTCACCATCTTAGCACCGTCCTTGGTGATTCCTCCCTGCTCGAAGGCAGTGCCAATAATGAACCTCCAGAGTGGACACACTCAAACACACCCACAACTTGGCTTCATGTTTCCACAACTGAACCCAGTGTTTTCTTTCAAATGTCCATCGGCAGCAAACGCTATCCGAGGGACTCAAAAACCATTCACCTGTTGCGTCCCATGACATCGTTTTTCGTTAACGTGTCGTTCACGTGTCGTTCTGAGTTCGGCGGCCCCGTCACATTGTGGAGGAAGACCAAGGGTGTCCCACGCTTTCCACAGATCTGGACAAAGTGAGTTGCCTGGAGTCCAAACGAAGCAACGAAGCGACGAAGGATTCATGGAAAGTCTTCCAGATGTTTTCGATATATCAATGTGTGTATATATATATATATCAAAATGTATCAAAATGCTCTGCGCAATGACACAATCCCGGAACCAACTCAAAAACCTAAATCTCCTTCGGGTCACCTTTATCGCCGACTCGCTAAAGAGCATGCCATTGTTTCCAATGAGGCCCACAGGGTACCCCTCGATGTGCCTTGCTTGCGCCAAAGCATTGTTGTCCGCAATGAACCACATGAAAAGTACATGACAATGAACACTTTGTTCTCTTTCCTTAGGACGCTACTAGGGGCTCCTGGCCGTACTACTAGGAACAAGAAGCTACGTTCGGGGCTCCTGGCATCGCTACGAACGGAGCAAGACGCTACTAGAGGGCGATTCATGCCTTCTCTTTCTGTCAGCATATCTGGAATCACAAATCACCGAGGCAAGGTACGCAAATCCACACACGATCGTTGGCCCAAACTTTGGCTTAAACTCATGGAATCGCGACCTGAGCATATATGTTAGATGTCTCGTTAATAGCAAACGATACTAGAGCTTTCTTCTTCTTTTTTTCATTGTTTCGAATAGCGATGGCCTCCAAGCTACTAGCGATGGCCTCCAACCTAATAGCAAACACTGACCACTTGTTTCTGAATGGCTAAGAGCGAAACCCATCAACGATCCGGGCAATGACCTCTCTGATGTCGAAAGGGATATTGGTGGACTCTGGAATGATGCCCAGCATGCTCTCGCTCTCGTACCTACATCTCAAAGGTCCATCAGAAGTATACTTAAACGGGAAAACAAACACTTTTGTGCGTCAAACACAGCACTTCCTCTAAATGTATTTTTCAATTTGAGGCTCCCCGCAACGGTGGCTCTGCGGCCTGAAGATTCTGCGAGGAATTGGTCGATTTTCGAAGGCGACTCGCATCAAGCTCGCTGCGATGCTGTTGGCCAGGATGGTCCTGGGATTTCGTCCCGCGAGATTCTCGATGACCTGCGTTCCATAGCCGTCTGAGACACTGTCGTTCTTCACATGTAAAAGAAAACGGTGCCACTTCGAAGTAGAAATCAAAACACTTCTGAGTAACGAAGAGCAGGAAGAGAGATGGGACGACACAATCCAATCCAATGGAGCACAGAGTGGCGACGAAGACCAACGTTGGCCTCTCGGCACATTTGCAACGCTGTCACCTGATCGAAGGGAGGAAAGCTCGTGGGTAGCCGGATACGAACACAGAACCCCCAGGGGTCCCCCGTCAATCAGTTGCTGCTTGAGGACAATCATCAAAAACACTGGTCAATGTTGAAATTCCAACTTTGAGGGTGCATGTGTTGTAGAGCGCAGAATGAAACACCGCTAGCCAAACACTTGTTTTCTGAAGAATCCACAGTTCCTAGTTCCTGGTCTTTGTGAAAGTGTGTATGACTCCTTGTAATATGAAGAATCCACCGTCCGAATGATTATGTGACCTGGCCTCATCCGGAGCCATCTGATCACAAGTTCCAGACTTCGTAGTGTGCATCAAAGCCTTATCTTTCACACACGCAGAACACCTATACCTTGGGCCAGCTCTCTTTTCTTGGGTTTTACATGTCGGATGAAAGAATGGGGTCTGAAAACCAAAATGTGATAGCGGTCAATCCCAAGTGTGATGGATCATCCATCAAGTGTACACAAAACACAAAACACAACCTCTTTGAGATCCTTACACCACCAAGACTCTGCTCCTCGGCATCCTCACCAGTGGCAGCCTTGCGCAGCAAATAAACGAGACACTGGCAACACTGTTGCTCGATGGTGCCCGTGCCTTTACTAGGGGAGGGCCGCCTAGATATACTGTGCCGTTCTCCTGGCGAAAACACAAAAAAGCACACCTGAAGCAAACAAATACCGCATGAGAAGGCTCTCCAACGGTCAAGACGGTCCTTCACGATGATGGTCTCATCACACATTGCAGGAGTATATGCGCCTCCTTTCGAGATGGTGCCATGTGCGGAGCTAGTCAATTTAAGACTGGAACTCAGCAGGTCTCAACAAAGGTTGGCACCTGCTGTGCACATGCCACAAACCACTGCAATCTGCTGAATGCCCTGCCAGACGACCGCGACAAAAAGTAGCTGGAAAGAAAGCACCACGCATGGCCAAACATGCACGAGCCCTGCAGAGTTCATGCTGGAGGCCACCGCTCTGAGGTTGGAGGCCAAGTATGCTTTCTTCGCGGTCGCGGTCACTGACAGCGCTAGAAATGAAGAGTGACCTGCCTTGGCACTCATTCTGGCCTGTGCCGAAAGGCACACGCAGGGTGTGAGAACAAAGGGGACAGGACGGACGTTGCAAAAAGGAAGAGGGGGGTAGGGGCACACGAATAGAATCTTGGTTCATGGATTCGGGTAAATCCCTCGATGTGGAAGATGCAAGAATCACAAGGAAACAACACATATTCCTGGCACGTGCTTCACAACAAATCCCAATTGAACAAAACAACCGTCTGTGATGCTGACTTCTCGATATGGAACGGCAATCCACATAGAAGCGCTGTGCCGTCCTGGTTGTAGAACTGCCGGCCGCCCTCAACGAACTGTGCTGGCAGAGTTCCATTGTAGGTCCAATCCTTGGTGCCGAGTGCATTGATCTCTGAAACTCTGAGGAAAAACCCGTTTGCACAGAAAGCAATGACATGGCATTGTACAAAACGATTTGCAGAACAGAAAAACACAAACACACACACACACACACATACACGACCTGCATTTGGAACTGCGATGCTAACCACCATTATTGATTAAAGTAAAATTGAAGACTTCAGCGAACTGCCAGGCGGCTACTTTGGACTTCCCACTACCTGGCAAATGTCAGCGAACTGGGAAGGGCTTTTGTGGCTCCACAAAGGAACGCACTCGACAGGTGCAAAACGAAAAGCTTTAAGCGATGGTAGAAACTCGTCTCCGAGAATCCTTTGCGCCTCGGCCTTCATGTCTGAAGCAACCCCAAAGATGAGGCATCCGGACAATCTCTCACATGGTATGGCTCAAAACTCGGCACTCCCCAAAACCTTACAAACAAACCAGGCCATTTCAACCAAAAAAGGGGCTCTTCTGCACCGGCAATGGAGGGAACAGTAATCCATTCGCTCCCCCCCAAAAAAGTAAGAGACCTCACTATGTGGGCCGTCTCAACTCGTCTCAACGAGCTCTTCGAGCGTCGCCTTTGGAGCTCCCTTGTGCGTCCAACTTGGCGCCACCGCCGTCGATGAGATACACACAGGGCCTCAAAACGAACGACGCCCGTCGGCGACGCGGCCGAAAAGGATTCGTGGCCGTGAAACCGGCCGAAAGCAGGCTTTGTCGCAGAGACATCGTGTCTTTTTGTTTAAAAGGACTTACAAACTGAGAGCAGCACAAATAATTGACTTCGGCAATTTCTTGTGCTCGAAGCCACTTTTTGTAGCCAACTGGAAAGGCAACGCCACCTGGGCATTGAACCACTTGGCTCCCCTCAAATGACTCACGTTGGCAAACTGAATCCGCCTTTGATGGTCGCATCTGTGCCGATGAACATCACCTGATCGTCTCAAAAACTGGACGACCCGATGACTGGTGTCCATTGGAAGTGGAACACAACCAGCCATCCCCTTGTTGCACATCCCCTCTTTGGCTCAACGGCGAAAACGGTACAGTTCGGAACTGGCAGGTACCGTACCGCAACCGTTTGAACATCCTTGGAGGCAGTGGAGACCCCTTCAATGACTCGAGGCGCATGGAAACCCAGGTTTCTCTTACAACTGTCCAAATCCCCTGGCCCTTCTATTCAGCCCCTTTTCTCAACAAGATGGAAGGAGGGCAATTGAGAAAATGAGTGGGATTCTTCATCAGCCCTCCAAATTTAGTGCTGCTAGCATGAACTGGTGATAGAGAGTTTCTCAAGACGCACGGCGCAAGCCATTTTCTTAAAGAAGAAACAATTCGACCCCCAGGGCCCCTTAGCAAACCTGTCTTTTGACGCAACGGCACCCGAAACCGAGCTTGGCCGAGCATGGCCTCACGTCCGCTCACCACGCCAATGCCACACACGGTGCCGCCGCTATGAACTCCACCGCCGTACATCTCCCACCTGGATCGCTGCGAATCGACGGTAGTCGCGGTGAAACGCCATGCGGTAAAAAGAAACGCAAACGAAACAGTGGAGACGTCCAACCACAATTAGAAGGACCACTTGGTTTGGCAGTGTTTGGTTCAACATGTATGTAGGCATCTGATCTGGCCCTGCACTTCGCTGCCCTGCCCACCTGAAGTATTCTAAATATGCCAGGCGAAAACCCTATCCATCCAAAGCAAGCTGGATTGTATGTCACCACCAAGTAAAGTGCATCGCTACTAGTAACAAAGGCATCGCTACGAACGGAGCAAGAAGCTACTAGTAGCTCCTGGCCATACTACTAGTAACACAGACAACGGTTGCCCTGTTTGCGTGTTCCTCCTTTGCCACTTCTTTTGTGCGAGCCCTGGGGGTGCAGGCCCTGCGAGGGCGGAGATCTCCAGGAAGTCAGTGCCCTGGATGCAACGAAGGAGGCGAACCGGTTTGTGAAAAAGAAGGGAGACGTCCCGGCCCAATGGGTTTGATCTATTTTGGTCTCCCTACTTCAATGCACACTCATACTTCTGGAGGACACGCGCTGCGAAATCATCATCTCGAATGAGGTGAAACGTTCTGGAAAGTGCTCTGTGAACATAAAAACATGACATGCCACATGCAATATCTCTTGGCTAAAAAAGCCGTCTGGCTGAATTTCATGAGAAACCGTTCACGCCTGATCGATGATCTTTCGAATCCGTTCGCGGACCAGAAGCTTCCCTCTGCTTCGATGAAGCTTCACAGCCTCAAGGTACAAGCCGATGCAGTTAGCAGTGTCGGTGGAGGACGGGTGGACATCCAGAAAGAAGAAAGCCAGAAAGAATAATGTTTCGGTCAAATTCCTTTCAAACATGTTTTGGACATCTATTTCGATGGGCAAGCTGCTTGAGTTTTTGGGGGTGGTTCCAAAGGCAAGGCCTACACAACCACCCATCCCCTGGCTGAAGCTGGGCATAGCAGGAAGAGGCTTCATGGTTCTCTGTGAGAGAAACACACACACAAAACGCCTCTATGCTTAGCTCAACGAACATAGAGAGCAAGCAAGAGACATCACCTTCTGTCCCCCTTTCATTCCCCTTCTTCTTCTTCTTCTCTTTCTTCAGCTTCCCTTGCTTCGAGGGCTGTCCACTGTCCGCCAAACACCTCCAAGGTACTCGATCAGAACCTCCATGACTCACCACATCGATCCTCCTGGAGAGCGGCTCCGATCTATGGAACAAGCGATGGCCCAGGAATTCTAATTCTAATTCTAATGAATTCTTGTTTCTAATAGCTTCTTGCTCCTAGTAGTAAGGCCAGGAGCCCCTAGTAGCGTCCTTGTTACTAGTAGCGATGCCAGGAGCCCCTAGTAGCGATACCTTGACATCTGGCTGTAATGAGGACATCTTTTGGAATCGAACGCCAAGTCGAAAGCCACAAAAATGTCCGTCCAATATCCAGGAGCCCCTATAGTAGCTTCTTGCTCCGTTCGTAGCGATGCCCTTTATTACTAGTAGCTTCTTGTTACTAGTAGTAAGGCCAGGAGCCCCTAGTAGCGTCCGATCGCTCATAAAACAGAAGTGAACACGTTTTTCCGCCGAAATCTCGAGAAGGGCCGTGAGGATCTTAACATTTCCCGCTCCTGTGGAGTTCCGTCACCACGGACTTGTTGAACTCCCGGCGCTTTTGAAAGACGGGATCATCGTCTTTGGCTTTGCTCCTCTCAAAACTAGCAACAAAGGGCATCGCTACTAGGAGCAAGAAGCTACGAGGGGCTCCTGGCCTTACTACTAGGAACAAGAAGCTACTAGTAACAAAGGGCATTGCTACTAGCAAGGACGCTACGAACGGGGCGCTCCTGGCCTTACTAGGAACAAGGACGCATCGCTACGAGGACGCGAAGCGGCGAAGTCCGGCCCTCCGTGTTGGGACACCAGGTCGCTGCTTTCGAACACCGGATCGACGCCTGAGAACAGGTGTCTCGTAGAGCTGTTCCTCCGGGCTTCCGCTGCTGAACCATGCGCCTTATATGCCATCAATGAACATGGACAGGTTATTTGGTGTTTGATTCTCATAAGATCTCATAAGAAACACGAGGGGCTGGCATCGCTACTAGGAGCTCTACTACAGGTCCCGACCAGTGCGCTCTATGTGATAGTGGCGGAGATCAACGAATTCCAAACGAATTCCTGAAGACTCTGATTGAATGAGGCATGGCCACAAAACCTGCTTTCTAAGGCCGTGGCTGGGCAAAGCTCGGTATCCCGTGGTTCCGCTCTCCGTCTTCCGGACCTGGCCATCAACGGAAGCGCGATGGCCTCCAACCGAGGAGCGATGGCCTGCAACCTACTAGAGATGGCCTACACCCTAGATAGATGCTTCCCTTTTGGGACAAATCGACCAAAAACTACCTTTGGAACCTCGGTCTCACGGTGAGGCGATCGCCCAAAAACACCAATGGTCGAACCCGAGTTTGCTGTTGTCAACGTTTTTTACGTGTAAACCAAAGAAACTCAACGACAAGCCCTTCACCACTCGCTCGCTTCTTTCGGTCGAGAGAGCGATCCTCGGCATCCGGACCGTCCGGGGCAGAAGCTCCGCGACTTCTGCAGGTGCATCGCCACTGGCTTCCAAGCGAAACAAAGGAGCGCCCTGGCTGGAACTATCGATCCGCAAAGCCGGAGAACGAAAGATGGGGCCGACGCTGGGGCCGTCGCTGGGACCGATGGGGGTTTCATTGGTGGATATCTGGATGATTTCGGGCCTCATTCACCTGTTGCCCTGGCTGAATCAACACTTCCAGCACCTGAGCGCAGCTCTGTCCGTACGCCAAAACCTTTGTGGCCTTTGTCCGTCGGCAGAACTGAACTCTACTTAGAGTTAAAGGGCATCGCTACGAACGGGGCGCTCCTGGCATCGCTACGAACATATACCCAGACCACGTCTTGGACCACATAGAGCCCTTGGCAATTCTAATTCTAATAGCTTCTTGCTCCTAGTATCACGGCCAGGAGCCCCTAGTAGCGTCCTGGTTCCTAGTAGCGATGCCAGGAGCCCCTAGTAGCGTCCATGATGAGATGCCCTTGTTGATGGTTCTAGGCGTCCGGCTTTCCCCGGCCGTTCTGCCACGATGTCCTTGGGCGTTTCGGCAGCGTTGCAGCACGGCTTCGGCCCAGTCGCGTTGGGGCACGAAAGCCACGCGTAGCAGCGATGCGGAGCAGAAACATGCCCTATTATGCCCTAAGATCTACAGAATCTAACATCAACATAGTACAAACTTTTCAGCCAAATGGTTGCACTGCTGAGTGTCCTGCAACATGTCTCCAGCCATAGTGACGTTAGTCAAAATGTGAGTCAAGACAAGTTGGACCCATTCTAATAGCAAACAAACTAGTAGCTTCTTGTTACTAGTAGTAATGGCCTCCAACCTAAATAGCCTCTGGAGAACAATCCCACCATGCCCAACTAACTCATTGCTCTACTGACCGTGCCCGACCTACGAACTGCCCTTTGGCGCCAAACTTCATTCAACATCTTCATTGCGGACAGCACCGCCAGCACGCTGCCAGCGGAGAGAACATCGCCCGCCTTCACTTTGACCTGCGTCGCCCCGCTCGCGACTTCCAGGTGTCGATTTTCCGTCTCAGTTAAACCCAAAGTAGAAGCTGCGAACGGTTACATGTGTCAACCAAAACATGTGAAATTTCCTCCAACACAGCGCTGATGGCGGTCGCAACTCCATCTGTTCCAAAGCCACGGCCACATCGACCCCCTCCTTCGCTGCGCTGCACGCCACGCCGCGCCGCCGCGTGCCAAAGCCCACCTCCGTGACTTGCGCCGGGAAGGGAGCATCGACCTGAAGGACCGCGAAGCGGTGCTGAACGAAGCTGAAGCGTTTTGTGAGGACGCGACGCTACGAACGGGGCTCCTGGCATCGCTACGAGGAACAAGGTTCGCTACGAACGTAACAAAGGGCATCGCTACGAACGGAGCAAGGAAGCTACTAGAGTCGCTGAAGCATTTTGGGCCCTAGGTTGCAACACCTGCCACGACATTGCCCAGCTGTGTTTTTTTGTGCCAACACTCGCTTTGTCTTCATTTGACAATGAAAGAGAACATGCTTGAAGCCTCAAGAGACCTTCAAGATCATTTTGTCCCACAAGAAGGCTTGAGTCATATCATAACCTGAGGTCCAAAGAAAAGGACGCAACTATTATATATATATATATATACACGCTTACCCACACACACACACGCAAAAAAGGACCAACTACCCATGTCAGTTCTTGCTGTCCAACCCTCAACCTCACCTGCACAGTTCCGCCCGCCGAGGATGCTGTGCTGGCCTCACGACCACCGGAGACGTTCAGCGTGGTCAAGCGTCAGCCCCGTTCGAAGCGTCCGATCGCTCCGTTCGCTCCAAAACCTAAAAGGATCTACCTTCCTTTTCGGACGGTTCGTTTCTACGAGCGAAGGCCCATCCGGTTTTCCGGTGCCCACCTTGGGTGGCAAGTGGAGCTTCTGCGCCTCCACCCAGGTGGTGTGAACCGTGTCCCTGATGAAGTCCTTGCGATGCGACAGGGAGGGAGGTCTTCAAGGGCTGACAGGCGTTGGTGAGTCTTGAAGCAAATGAGTCGGGACCGGTCTCACGGTCGGTCTCATGGCGTTGTGTCTCCTGGTGTTCCAGAATGCGATTCAAGAAGTCAGTGTTGATCTTCAGGCCATCGACTTTGAAACCATTCACAGCCTGGTGAAAAAGCAGCAGGCCAGAATGTGAGGATTGACGAGTGTGGACCAACAGGTTCAGCCAACAGCCAGGTTCAGCCAGCCAGTGGGCCACTTACAGTGTCGAGTGGCCCAGACACACACCTTTGGAAAAAAACAACTCAAGTTTGTTGCAGCTTGGTCAGTTTCTGGGAGGCAGTTTTCTCCACCAATCAGCAGGCTGCAGCAGCCAGCATTCGGCTGCCTCAGTGCATCGGCGCGTGTCGCCCAGATGATCCAGTCGCATAAAAAGTGGACAGAGATGAAAGTATTTTTTGCCGCCAGCATTTCATCTTAATTTGTAGCAAGGACGCTACGTTCGGGGCTCCTGGCCTTACTACTAGGAACAAGAAGCTACTAGTAACAAAGGGCATCGCTACGAACGGAGCAAGGAAGCTACTAGGGAGAAGTTGCACAGTTTGCAGCGACGCATCTCTTCATCTTTTTGATCCCTGTAATGGATTCGTTGCACCGCAAGCTACCCATCTTTGGGCAACTGCAGCGACGCATGCCGCGGCTGCCTTAAAGCCTGTGATACTGCGCAATGGACGGCCATGTGCGTCGTTTTCGCAGCGACTTGTCATCAAAAGACTGTACATTCACAGAAGCAGCCGAAGCAGCCCACAGTCTGCCTTCAAGAGATTTTAATTGGAGAGGGCCTACTCAAGGGTTCGAGGCTAACTCTTTTGTTCTCTGCAAGTAGAGTACATTGGAAAACTGAGTGGGGGTGCTCTTTCAGCAACAAAACCCACGATGTTTTTACCTTTTCACCATTCGACAGTTACGTCCCCCAATTCGACCTTTTGTCGTTAGGAGTAGCGCATCATCGAAAGAATCCGATCTGCGGAAAAGACCAGGTACTCCACACCATCTCCCGGATCAAATGAAATGGAGTCATACTTTTCTCGAGCTTGTTCAGCTCCATCACATTTGCTATCCAAGCGAATGTTTCGTCCCAAATCCACCTCGGCTTGGATAATGGCACCTCGTTGGGAATCGGGCCCCAACTTGGAGTCGGGGATCTTGGGACTGGTGTAAAAATAGATGGCGCCTCCACACCATCCGGAGGTGCCAGGTCGGAAGGCCGAAGCTAAGATCTTCTTCGCGGTGTCGGGGCTGGTCTCGTGGTATAAGGTCTTCACTCCAGGCTCTGAAACCACCGGCTCCACAGGTTCCACGGGTTGTGGGCTGGGTGCGGGTTCGGGATTGGGATTGGTGCAAACGCCCTCGCAATAGATGTTGTCCCATCCACAAGGCTTAATACCTACAAGCTTGCCACCTTTGGTGCAATGCTTGTAAACGTATGCTGGACATGGTGTGCAAAGCCCATCGTTGTAGGTACTGGGCCCAGTGGGCTTAGGGCCCGGAACCGGACGCGGTTCCTGCGGCTTTGGCTTGGGTGCACTACATCTAGCTTGGCAAAGCACAGGAGAGCTGGGACATGGGCGGGAATTGCTCAAGCCCCACTGTGGTCGTCCTCCATTCTTACAGTGCAACCATGGATAGAGGTAAGCAGGACAAGCGGAGCATTGGCCATCCCAATATCCACTTGAAGCTGCGGAACTCGATCTCAACCGACCGACCGTCTCAACGGTCTCATTCGTGCTCAAGCTGCACCAAACGCCCGGCCACTTCACCACGAACGTCAGCAGCCAGACTCGCAAACCGGTCATTCCGAACTTTCCACGCCTTCGAACTTCGTTTGAACACAAAAGCTGCAGGGAAAAGACGTGTCACACGTGTCACACAGTGACGGTTTTTTTTTTCCCCCAATTCACACGAAAGTCAAAGGTCCAAGTTTGGTCAGAGATGGTGACATCCGAAGCACCTAGGCTTCCCCACCGTCGAGCGCCACGGCTCCAGTGTTGCCAGTGCAGAACCGCAGCCGCAGCCGTCCAGTTTCGCGCAGCCAAGGCTCTTGAAGAAGCGTTGTTGGGAGATTCGTTGTTGAGAAGCGCGGAATGGTTTGGTTCGCTCGGAGTATGACACTCTCATAGCTCGAAGTCTTGCGGTTTTGATGTGTTTTGCCCAGCCTCATGAGCAGCTTGCAAGGCGTGCTCGAAGTCTTTGCCCCAAACAATGAGCCTGACCATCGGTGGCAAACAGTCGTTTTGGGTCCAAGAACGACATAACTCTTCGAACCATTCTGCGATGTCCATGGCTTACACAAGGTCTTTAATTCCACAAGGTCTTTAATTCAGTCTTTCCAAAGATCCACTACATGAGATCTGTAAAAGTACGGAGCGCGCTTGGCAATCATGGGGTCGTAGTCTGTCACAGCCTGACCGTGCCGGCTAAAGAAGCTGGCTGGACGCAGCAACTGAAGGGCGCAACATCTACCATCCAAGTTGAACATCTCTTTCAGTTCAGCGTGAGAAACTGGGCTCCGCCCATCCAAACTTCAGCCAAGAAGCCACTGTGCCAGGACCTACCGCTGTCTCCACCTCAGTCATTCCATTCGATGCGGTGCAAGTGCCAGCGAATTCACATCGACGCCACACCGACTCCTGGACTTCCCAAAGGGTACGGTACTGCTTGGTTGACTCCCGACGACTTGGTGATTTCACGAGAGGTGATTTCACGATCCGACTGGCCTCCAAACATAAGCATCGCTTTGACCTTAAGACCTTTCTTTCTTTTTCTTTTTCTGTCTAATAGCGATGGCCTCCAACCTCAGAGCGATGGGCCTACCTTTCAAAAAGTGACGAAAGCGGCTAAGCTCGGCACTCTCACCGAGACGGGTTCCTCCAGCGACTTCCGTGGCGCCACAGGTGCGGGTTTCCGGACTCCGAACGACCGAAGGGTCGGTCTTGAACAAGGTTCGCTACGAACGGAGCAAGGGCCTTACTACTAGGAACAAGAAGCTAGTAGAAACAACATATAAATTAGAATTTCATCAGAATTAAGTGTAGTTAGAATCAAATTAAAATAAGAGTAAAGGAGGCTACTAGGACCTTTCCGCGCGCGCGAGCGCACGCGGGGGGGGTGTAGGAGCAAGGACACCACTAGGAGCAAAGGGCATCGCTACTAGCAACAAGAAGCTACTATATAGTTTCTCTTCAAACTTCATTTCCCGCATCACACTTTTTGAATGGTGGCCATGCCAGATTTGCGAAGAATTGCTCCATGGGTTGAACCTCACGGCAAAAGAACCGGATGTATTCTGATGTTTGATATAGCCCTAAGAATCCAATACATGATGGTTGGTCAAGGACCTCTACCAAAACTTTAGGAATACACTAAGCCTCTAAGCCCTCGCCGGAAACTGCGCCTTGTAGTCCTGAACCTGTCCACCACCTCCAGGCAGAAGCCCCACACGAACTTGAATGGCAAAGCCCTGGCGATGCCGCCACTTGCGGAGAAGAATTCATCGAACCGTGACCGTCACACCTGTTTCTCATGCGCAGGATCAGTCACAGGATCACTCGGACCTTTTTCTCGCGCCAATCGGAAAACCACGCCCAGTTCACGCTCCACCCACCTCCCCCGCGTCACGATTCCCAACGCCACTGCCCACCCCCACGTTCTTTTTTTTCGCCTGAAAGCTGAGCTTCTTCTGGTCCAAGCCGAGGTCTGCCAGTGTCATGCCACCTGCCGGGGTCCGTCCGTGCAGTTCTGTGTTCCGTGTACACCGAAAAGAGGGTTGGTGAACCATGTGGGACCCAAAAGGAGGATGAAACAACGGTAGACTCGCACCGCATGGTCTACCAGAGTTTGACACAAACAGAAGCAGCTCCCCAAAAGTACCAAAAACGCATTTCTGCTTTGCATCCCTTTTTCTTTTTGATTCGGAAGTGTACATCCAGCGCCGGTCTGGATCGAGCTGAAGACGACGAAGCGCCACGCCTGCGATCTTGAACTGCGTCTGCACCAAATCGAGGCCCGTGATCTCCTAGCAGTTGCTCAGCTCTGTTTGTTATTTGGATGCATTCTACTCAGGCGTTTCCAGTCTGGGATGCGCATCCTCAAGAGCAACATTGTCCAAGTTCCTATGCTTCGTCTCACGTCTGGTCTAAACCGCTTGGTCAACGTGTTCGACGAAAAAAAGACACGTCGTGTGGGGACCTCTGTGATGGTGTGCTCCACTTGAATTCGTGGATTCCTGATGCGTCGTCGTCGTCGTCTTGTGGAGCGGCCAAAGAGCTGAAGAAAGATGAAGGCATTCCCGCTTCAGGCAGTTCCTTCTGTTTGGTTTATCCTGGAAACATGGCACCGGCTTTGTTCGTGCACCGCACCATGGCACTCGTGCACGTGCCCAAAGGCGTCTTTTACGCGTCTGAGGCCAAGCTGCAGCTCCAGAAAGTAGAAGCCGGCCGCCTTGTCCCGGAGATCTCCCTGGTGAGATGAGAAGCAGCTGCGCCACCACCTCTTCGTCCTGTCCCTCCTAGTTGGACATCAACACCTACCTGATTTGGCACTGATTTTGGCATCACATCCTTCATATGCCACTTCATCTACAGAATCTGTCGACAGTCAACTCTTCACGTATGAAACCGACGGAGACACATCTCACCCGTCCCCTGCCTCAACCAAGAATTCAACGGTGCCAGCATTCTGATATCCCACCTTATTGTATCTGCTCAACGACTCGCAGTTGCGAGTTGACAAATCATGCGAGTCGACAACACTTCTTGACGTTCTCTCTCTCTCTCTCTCTCCCTCCCTCTGTACCTCATTTCTTGAGACTGTTTCCTTCTGTACCTCATTTGTCTTTTCAAATGGATCGCTTTCCTCCAGACCAGTGCTCCAGCCAATACGGAAGAACATGAGCAAATTGCACAGGAACAGCTGCCCTGCCTAAGTGTTGACTTACACCCCAATAACCAAAAACACGACTGACTGAGCAGGTCTGGATCAAGGATCTCAAGCGACTTGAGCCGACATTGTTGCCGAACAAAAGCAACACAGCATCACTCAACTGCACAAAAAACGATCCTTCACGGACCACGCCTCGTCTGTGGCAAACTGAGGCTGTCCGGATAAGCTCTCTATGACAGTGGAGGGGACGGAACTTCTATGAACCGTAAATCTCATTGGCTCCCCAATTTTCAAGTGCATTTACTATGACTACTCCCCCAGCTCTAGAAGTCCCTCTCCACCGATTTCTATCCTAATCTACCTAACAAGAAGCTACTAAGTTGGAGGCCATCGCTAGTAGGTTGGAGGCCATTGCTACTAGTAACAAGAAGCCTTTTATGTCTTTGATCGCTACTAGTAACAAGAAGCTACTAGGTTGGAGGTCATCGCTACCTATCTTTCAACATCAATCACATTGCCGCTCGTGCTGGGGCCACTGGTGGCTACCGGCTGCCCATCAAGCGAGAGATCCTGGAAGTCCACCCCATCTGGTCCAATGGACGCCGAACAGGAAGCCATCCCAGTTCGATCACCCTGCACCTGAAACTGAAGCTGGACTTGGGTTGTCTGTCTTCCGTTGATGTTCATGGATGAGTAGGATTGACGATAAATCGGCCCACATTCCACGCTGGAACCCACACGCCCACTCCGTGTGATCAGCGTCTGCGCTTCGCTCAGCACACGGTCAATGTCGTCCTGACTGCCTTTCAAAAGACTGCCCATCATACCAATGGCCGGTTGCAACAAGGATCCTAAGAGTCCTAGACCTCCAAACGATGGACCATCAGCCAAGGCTGACGGCTCCTTGTTTCCTCCAAAGAGGGATTTGATGCCATTGCCGATCTTTTCGATAAAATTACCCCCTCCCTCACTTTCTCTCCCGAGCTTCTTCTTCAATTCCTCATTCTCACGCCTCAGCCGATCTACTTCAGATTCACCGCCAAAGAACCTGCGTGCCGTAGCAGCTTGGACCTCCCTGCGCGATCCTAGAGTGGCCAAATGTCTATGTCCTGCCATCGTGTCACTGCTGGTTCTCCGTGGGCCATCACCCGGCTTCGCCATGCCAGGTCGAAGAAACGGCGTTTCAGTGGAAGAAACGACGCACAGCAGGAGTAGCGATCCGGACAGAGTCCAAGAATGCCTTGATCGAGATCGAGACCAAGGCTGTGCCATTGCGGAAAAGGGATGAAAAAGGGGGGTAGGAGTTGAGATGAGTTGCTTTTGCGGAAAGAGATCACCAAGTTTCATCAGCTTGATCTAGCTCTCAAAATCTGCGAGTTCTTGAAATGTGCTTTTTGAGCCAGGTGTCATTGATCTCCTTTGAACAAATACTTCGGCGGTTGATGGACAATGGAGCGCGAAAATGATCCCACATTGGGTGCAAACCGGTGGCTTTTTGGTTTTAACGAAAATACACACATCGTCTCTTGGCATGGAGTTGGTTTTGAAGAAAAACTCCAGGGACTCTCGGGCTAGACCTCAAAGATCACCGGGGTGTTCCGGTAAAAGAAAAAGGATCTATTGAGAGGACACCTCGCTTTTCCCTGCCGTCGAGACCGAGACAGGTCTGCTGACGTTCTGAGTGCCACGGGCAGATTCACAGAGTGCCACCGCAGCTGAAGTAATTCGCTCCCGCAGCTCCGGATGCATGCCTCAGCGGTTGGTCGGGACGGTAGGGACTGGGGCTGGAAGAATCCCTGAAAAAAGAGGTTCTATTTTTGTTTAATGACCATTGGAATATTGTATTACATTATTTTACAATCTTGTTTTTTACCATCTTGTTTATCTTCCCGCTTTTCTCACCTTATCTTCTCCACCTAAGAACCCAAATGAAGGTGGTGATCTTTGCTCAAATGAGTTGTTCCAACAGCACAAGGATTTGCAAAGTCTGTCTCTTGGCCACTCAGGCAGAAGCCTCTGGCAGGTGCAATTTCAACCACCTGCAGCACATGTCAAGGGTTTGAACTGCTCCGCTTGCACCCGCGCTGCATCTCGAATTCGGCCAAGTTGACGTTGAGCAAAGTCGAACAAAACCGTTCACCGCTTACACAAGTGGAACAATGAACATCAACTGCATCTGCTCAGCTGCGCCTTCTGCTTTCGCAGCTGCACGGAGCAGTCGCGCTCAAACAAGTGGATGCACTTCCTCGAGCAAAAACAAGAAGCTAGTAACAAGGGCATTATTACGAGCAAGGACGCTACGAACGTAGCTCCTGGCCGTACTACTAGGAACAAGGTTCGCTACGAACGTAACAAGCTACGATCGTCGCCAAAAGTGTCCACCGAGATCGGCGCATCGACGGGTTTCGCGCCTGGCATCGCCGAGCACTTGAACCTCCACGTGCATGGCCTCGCACGAAGGACTCGAGCTCAGCTGGAGCTGCAAACCGGAAAAACATCTGCCAACCGTGACCAGCCGTCATGACAAGATAGAGGAAGAACATGTCAATGACCAGATCTGACCAGCCGTCCCTCCAGCCGTGCCCGGCCTTTGCGAGGAATCTCTCGATAAAGACTTCAGGACGTCCAAAGCCTTGGTTGGCAACGAACAGCCTTCGAGCTCAACAGCAGTGACAGTTGCCGTCACATGATTTAGTCCTTCCTCTAGATCTATGGGTCTATGTGCACTCAGATGCACTCAGCATGGAACTCATTTCGGCCTCCTTGCTGCATTTCTCAAACTCCTTGGCGAAATCTTCCTGAAGGTCGGCGATCGCAGCCGGTCCCGGCTCGCCACGTCTACACGGTCGCAGCCCACGGCGGTAGTCTCGCCTCACGTTCCACCACGGCTTGCCCACGGCCACCACCGCCAAAGGCGGCTTTCAGGAGCAATGGAAACTTCATGGGCTGTGCCTCCAACATCACATCACGTCGAACTGGGCTATTCACGTGAACAGAACATTCTCGCTACTAGAAGCAAGGGCCGTACTAGTAGTAACAATGTTTGCTATTAGAATTAAGTTTAAGAATTTAATTAGAATAAATTCGATTTTGGTGACCTCCGAGCCGTCCGAGATGTGATGTCTAGTAGCTTCTTGTTACTACTAGTAAGGCACTTGTTACTAGTAGCGATGCACTTGTTCCTAGTAGCTTCTTGTTTCTAAAGTTCATTCTCCAGAAAATCATCTCATCTTTTGGAACGTTTCTTTCTTTCGGACGCCACGATCGGGGCTCCTGGCATCGCTACGAACGGAGCATTCTTACTACTATAGGAACAAAAAAGCTACTAGTGCGTAGAACATCATTCTTTTTCTATTTGGAAAACAGTTGGCCCATCCACACACGACACTCGCTCACTTTGGGCGCCTTGAGAAAGGCCACCGCCTCCTCCACCGTCTTCAGACCAGGGCTGCCCGGCAGCGTCGGGATCTGCGCCTTCACCGCGGCCTCTTTGGCCTCATCGTCGGGCCATCCGGTGGGGACGGGACAACAGGCCCGCAAGCCGTATAGCCGTATAGCTAGATGCCCTAAATGATATATTCCGTATAGTTAGGCCTGCAGAGTCGGGATTCGGAATGATTTCGTCTGGACAGTGTGCAGCAGTTGCCATGACCCACGAGTGGCATGCGTGTTCAGCCTTGGTCTTGTCGCCGAACAAGTCAATGATGCTGGACGAAGGACCGACAAATCTCAGTTTGAAGCAGCAGTGTGTGGTTCGCAGCACAACCAGTCAGAAAAAAACACAGACAAAACCAACACAACGCAGCATCTCTCCGACGTGGAGCTTCCTGCAGCTGAATCACTTCACTCCGTTCTTTTCGCAGAGTGCAACGAATGCCTCATTCTCTGAGAGAAAGCCATAGCCTGTTCGCGCAAGCGACAAAAGAAGAACAGTGGCTTTCTGCTCCAGCGACCAGTGGCATATATCATGGAGATCCGTTCCATTAGGTCTTTCTTAGTCTGGCAGTCTATTATCCCTGGGTCCATCTACGTGTTTGGAACGTCCGTCCATCTCAGTTTCTCTGTTCGATTGATGCCTCACCTGGATGTACTGCCTCACAACCTTCCTGGAGCGCGATCCTCACGATGTTCGCGGCGTCCAGATATGGCCTCAGCGGAGGGTCCGCAACGAGGAGCGATGGATGGCGATGGACGAAGGAGAGCGTCTACACCGGGGGGAGATTGGTTGAAGCGTGAGCACAATTTATTTGGTTCCTAGATTTTCTAGGGAAACGAATCGAACCTTTTTAAACGAGAGATCGCAGCATCCGCTTAGGCTCTATGTCATTCCCCATTGGAGGTCCTTCTTCGGCTCCCTGGGCTCCCTGCGCCACTGGACTGCTCCCGGGTGGAAGCTCAACGACCTCGAGCCGCTCGTCCGGCGCTACGAGTTCCGGACTCACCGGACGAATGGGCCTTGTCCACGACTGTGGGATGGAGGGCCTTGGCGTCCTGAAGCAAGCAGAAACGATAGGGATGGAGGCCCTTGGCAGCTGCATTTTGGCCTTTTCTTAGACTTCCTTTTTCTCTGAACGCATGGTTTTTTGACCACCGACTTAGCTCACACAGTCTTCGTCACATCTCCCGAAGCCTCTCCTCCTTGGTGCACACACCCACGGTTTCGATACCTCCGCCGCGCACGCGGGTCGCGACGCGGCAAGGAACGAGGGGTCAGCGACCGGGACTCCCCGCCTAGCGCTTTGGCGGCACGGTGGATGCGACAGGCGATCTCGCCGCGGTTCCTCAAACGAGTGCGGTGGCCATGTGACCATGGCCGGCTCGATGTTGGAAGGCTCATCTGGGGTTTCCATGGTTGGCATCTGCACTTTTCCTCTTCTTTCGCAAATGGGTAGTGAGGCTTTCTTGGGAATCGTTTCACCTGTAGTGACAAGGAGCTAGGAGCTGGAAGCTACTAGTACAGTATGTCTTTGAAGCTACTAGTAACAAGATGATGAAAGGCAGGCAGGCATGGGTATCGAGGCTTCCGAAGCTGATCCATCCACCCGATTTCATTCGGACTCCCCAAGCCACTGGACTACAACCCCCGTAAAAGCCAGTAGCAGTAGGATCCTTCATATGGAGACAACCTGGATCTGGAAGAATCAGCTCCAAAACTGTTCCTAGTAGCGTTCTTGTTCCTAGTAGTAAGAATGCTCCGTTCGTAGCGATGCCAGGAGCGCCGATCGTAGCGTCCGATCGCTCCTAAAATTTCTTTGGATGATTTTTGGCTTCATCAGCATTCTCTCTAGGTTTCCTCGCGCGATGAGGATCTTCCGGAAGGGTGTGGCCGAAGTGGTCTCCACCTCCGGCCTGCCATACCTGCCTTCGCGGCCTGCGGTGGCCGAACAACGGGGAGAACAAGCGTCCTTGCTCCGTTCGTAGCGATGCCAGGAGCCCCTAGGCCCTAGTAGCTTCTTGTTACTAGCAGTAAGGCCAGGAGCCCCTAGTAGCGTCCTTGCTCCTAGTAGCTTCTTGTAGTAAGGCCTGGGTGGTATCTTTTTGCAAAGAAATTCCATGCTCAGCTCAGCTTTGCGAGAGCTATGGACATTTTCCATCAAAACTGTTGGTTCAAATCAGCACGTGCTGTTACAAAATGCTTTGGCATGTATGCCTTGACTTGAACTTTCCTTTTGTCAACAGGTATTTGGGGATCCGTCAAGAGTTCTGCGAGGGCACAAAACACGATCAAGATCTACGTTTATCACAGCTATTCGTGTGCTGCCTTGATTTTCATTTCGGGCAACTTTGGTGGAGACAAACGACATCTGGGACGGGGCTCGCTATGCTGAAAACAGAGCCTCAACGCAGAAGTGGAAGCACTTCAATGGTGCAATTCGTTTCGCAATGTTGACCAGCAAGCTCTGAGTGAGAGAAGACCACAACTAAGTGGTAGGGCAAACATACTGCCAAAATCATGGTGTAAATGCTAGAAGATCAAAGGCAAATGAAGGAGTCAGAAGCAAGATTCCTTGGTCATCGTGGCCATGCCACCCCGAAAAAAAAAATAACTCGACACCATCTCCTTCAAATACATCCAACACCAGTTCATTTTTTTCCACATCAAACGAGAACCTCTTCCATCAAACGGGCAAAGAAGCACGGCCGGCCGGTCGCGCCACTCGTGTCGCGTCGCCACGTTCGGGCGGCACGCCGTCTCGCAGATGAGACTGCAAGATGCGAAGTCTCCTGCGTCAGAAAGGACGGGAACAAAGTGACTGCAGACGTCTCCTGCGTGACAAAGTCAAAGTACCGAGAAGAAGAAGAAGACACATCCAAAGTCTTTCAAAGCTCTAAGAGTTGTTCTTTAGCTATGAACATCAGAAAACACGATCTCGTCCAATCTAGAAGTACCCTGGCCAAAGCTTTCAAAACACCCTTTTGCAGCCCAGAAATTCCATGCTCCCATCCGGTTGACCGTGCTGATTTGGTGCTTTCAATCCCTCCTCGCGCTCGACATCCGGACCGGATGCGCCCCAAACGGAGACCGTCGGAGAGACCGTCGAACGACCGGCCACCGTTTCGGGAGGATGCCTGTCTTTCGACTCGGGAAAGTGAATGTAGGCGACCTGATCCCGTTTGTTTTGTTGTTTTTTAATGCTGAAAGAAACCCATCAGCACACAAAACAACCAAAATAAGACATGGTTTTTGCACCTACTGGAGATGGGAGTTCGTGGACGTTCCTCCGCCGCACTTGGACCTCATCCGTTCCGTTGTTCCGGTGCTCATCCTCGTTTGATTCACATGATGGCACAATGCTGCCAGAGCCAGATGGCTACGCGGCTGCGGCTGAGCTGACAGGAAAGAAGGGGTGCCAGTCTGTGAATCTCTGTTGCTTTACTTTCGTCAGTCTGAGTTCTTCCCTCAGTTAGCTTAGACTTGGCCAATTTGACCACTGCAAATACCACCACTAATACCGCCTCCCCCAGCCTCGAAGACGAATCCTTCCCTCCAACTCGTCCCTCAAGTCCGCCTGGTTTCAATAAAACGCTTTCCTCATTTTGCGAACCTAAGAGCGATGGCCTCCCTAGTAGCGATGGCCTCTACCCACCTCCAACCTAGCTTGCAAGGCTTGCAGTTTCTTTTTTTCTTTTTCGATTTGAATGTCTTCACTCCGGTGCCCCGTTTGGGGTCACTCCCGGAGAGACCCGAACGGGGTCGGACGGTTGCAGCGAGTTTCGGTGGCGAAAGGTCGACGATGTAGCGTCCTTGCTCCTAGTAAGGCACTTGTTTCTAGTAGCGTCCTTGCTCCTAGTAGTAAGGCCAGGAGACCCTAGTAGCGTCCTTGGCTCCTAGTAGTAAGGCCCTTTGCTACGTTCGTAGCATCCTTGCTCCTAGGTGAAAGGGTTCGGGATTCGGGATTCGGGCCAGGGCCTTTTCGTGAAAAGGAAGAACTCGAAAGGTCCAAGATGGATTTTGAAAGACACCGAGCTCAAAGAAGCGAAACAAACGAACCTCTCGAGCCGAAAAGAACACCTCTCGTGGGTCGAAATCTTTCACCATTCGTTGATCTCGCTGTTCCGCACGTGGGTGCACCTGAGTGACACCTGAATTGAGACGGTCTGTCTTTGTGAGCATCCCTCTCGAGGTCTCTGGTGCTTTGGTGACGGGTGACCTGTCACCTGTCACATGCATGCTCTTTAAAGCATCTGGTCATCTGTGGAAACTTTGCACTTATGGAGGTTCTTTCAAAGAGGGATGCTCTGTGCAGCTCTGCAACTGATGCTCCGAATTCCAAGCAGTGAAATACTACAGAGGCCGATAGCTCGTCATGTGTCGAAGCTTGGCATTGGGATCCCGGCGCTGGCCAGTTGCGAGCAAGACATGGGTGAAGCTAAACAAGGAATGTCCCACCCATTCTCCTTTCTCATTGTCCTATAGGGGTGTTTGTTTTCGGTTCAGTTGTTGTTTTTTCAGCCTCGATGGTGTCGTTTCGAATGACACTGATCCGTGAAGGATCTGACCGTGTTGTCGTGCCAGATCCGAGCGAGGACCGTCGGCCGTTCCACACACCCCGATCGTTGTTTTCGTCGGGGTTTCTAACACGTTTCTGAAATCCGGTGGACAGATCCAAACACAAAGTCATATGCAATATAGTGCAATATAGTGCAATGTCTTCTTCATTGGATACTCTCCCGTGATTGCTGAACCTCCCGTGAGGACGCCACAAGATGAGGATTGCGATCCTCTAGACGTTCAACGTTCTTATGTTCCACCCGTCCTCGGCCCGTCCTCCACCGGACGAGGTCATCGGTCTCCGGTCTCCCTTCTGAGGTCACCCGCCGGCCCCTTCTCTCGCAGGGTGGGATCCGTCGGTAGCGCGCAGAGCTGACCTGAGAGGAGCGTCGGGCGAGCGTTTTGCCGGCCACGAGCGGCGGAGCGGCACGCAGCAGAACGAACGAACAGAAGAACTGAAGAACGGAGCCAACGGGTTACATCGTTTGGTTTGTTCTCCTTCTCGGAACGAACGGTTTGGAAAAAGAGAAAAACACCAACGTGTTTGGAAAAAAAGGGTCTAAGCTTCGAAGCGAGACCTTCTGGGAAAGAGTTCTGACACCTTCGCCAGGGCACTTTTGACCATCTGCTTCATTTCGATGGTGTCATCTACCTTGCGAGTGACAGTTCAGAGCTTCGTGTTGCACACAGCGGGCTTGACAGCGACCAAGAGATGTAAAGGCAAAAGAAGAGCATGCAGCAGCGCAATGCTAGAAAAACGACTTACAACGGGCATCGCCTAACCCTTGGGTTTCGCAACGCTGCTCATCGAACTCTTCGAGAACTCTTCGATCTGCAAATCCACGTCGACACGGTGCCGCGCCCGAATGACTTGCCGCAAGGTCGGTATCGCATAGTTCGTCTCCTGACCGTCCCGGAGACCGACACCCGTCTCGCGGGGCGAGGAATGGTGTTCGATCGGATCTCTGCGTGCAATCCGGAGAAAGACACGGGGAAGAACACCGAGCTTCCGAAAGAACACCGGCGAAACGCCCGTCCTCTTTCTGCCGAGTGAGGGACTCAGCATTCATGAACTTCGAGAGCTGGCCGGTCGCGGAAGCGTCGAAGCCACCAGCGACGCTACGTTCGGGGCAGGTCCAACACAGCTTCGCACGGTTGTGAGACCCGGCTGTTTGAGGGGGGCCGAAGCAAGGACGAAGACTCCCCCCGATCTCCTGAAGTTTACTGGTTGCAAGTCTTTGAGCATCCAACTCCCAATCAATCGGATCGCATGAGCTCTTTTCTCCGCTTTTTGTTGTTCAATCCAAAATGCTGAGGATGCTACAGAAGGAAACCATCCCGCAACATCAGCCATACGAATATCAATACACAACAGCTTCTCCGTACTGCTGCCACCGAGATGACAGGGCAAACCTTCCGAGCCAATATGGCACTGCACCGAGAACGGTGAGGAACCATCTTCCAACATGTCGATCCCATTTTTGACAGTAGGGGGACTGCCACTGGCCCCCGAGTGTTTCGGATTCCTTCCATTGCTCAAGAGACAGCTCGCCACCAGCGCCAGCTGACCTCTGGTAACAGAAACTTGACGACGCAGGACTTCGGCACTGCGATTGTCATGAAACCCGGGTGTCTCATGTCTCTGAGGAGGGGACAACCAGGGCTCCAATGGAAACAGTGCAGTCCATCGATTTTTGAGACACGGACACAGGACCATGAAGGAGGCTCTTTCGTGAAGCAACTTCCGGGTCGTCCCATACGTGAATTTGAAGTCATGACCCTCCTTCAGAGTCAAGAACAGTATTGGCAATTTAGAAAATGATTCGCTGGACAAGACCTTTGGTCATTGCCAGCCTACTCAGATCCAATCGGTTCGCCGTCGCCGTTCCGCGTCGAGAACCGCCGTCGCTCATTGTTCACGAGCGGCGCCCTGGCGACATGGAAAAGCATGGGGCGAAATCCACCGGGCTCTTCTCTAAGGACGTGGCGAAATCTACCTGAGCACCACCCAGCCTGAGGAGGCGTTGATGTGTATTCTGCGGTGCCTTTGAGCAACATCCTCCCCTAACCACTGCGTAAGAACGTGACGGGGCGCTCCGTGACCCCAGCGCAGGATTCTCTGCACTAGGTCCCCCACACACACCATCCTGCTGAACCCGGTTCAACGACGAACCCGACACCACCAACCCGGGGCCTTGGTCGATCAGCCGATTTCGAAGACCTGGAGCAGCGAAACACAGTCGACCGACGTGCCGAAACCGTCGAGTCGTGCCGAGTTTCGGGGGACCGACCTGAAGAGAGAACCGAGGACGCGGGGACCTTGAAGCACCCGGAGTACTGAGTTGGTTTTGATTGAAAGAGAGCCCAACTCCTTTGCAAACATCTGGTTGATGAACGTGACACGCTCAAGAACCGGGAACCACTGACAAGGATTCGGTACTTCACAGCCAAAACGAGCGGCAAAAAGATGTGTCAGTGATCAACTGTCAATGGGACAAACCAGGCTGCTCAAGAGGCCCTTCTTGACCCCCAAGAAATAACATGAAATACCTCCCTTCCTTCAAACCCCCATCGCTCGGCCACTCCTCCCTCTCACACCGCCGGTCGTGGACGTGGACTCGGGGCCTCATGCCCCGAGGAGTGGACGAAAAGTACACGATCCAAGCCCTTGGTCATGGTGTCGCAGTAGGTCATGAAATGATTCACCTCACAAACACCGCAGCATCCAGCCACAGTCACCGACTCGTTCGTGCGAAGACGCACGCGGCAAACACCGCGAGAAGGGGGGTCGTTTGGGGAATCGCGGGATGGTGGGTGGATGGGGTGAAGGCCACCATGGTCCAAGAAGGCCACCGTGGGGGGGAACTCGATCCCATGTGATCTTGCAAGCACTTTCTGTGGAACTGAGGTGCCATCCATTATGGTGTACCAATTCAATCTTATAACCATCAGGCCATATAAAACCCCTCAGGGCTGAAAAGCCTTTACAATCGTTGGGGTTGACATTTCAAGAGGTCTTCACTCTACTGGTCCTGTCTACGTAAGTGTGCTCCCAAAATCTAGGAACCAAATCATTAGTGCGAGCGCTTCTTCAAGGAATCTTCCCCCCCGCCGCCTTTAGGGTGGCGGGGGGAGCTTCCTTGAAGAAGCACGAGCTATCCTGCGTCCAGTTACTAGAAGCTAACTAGTAGCTAGTAGCTTCCTTCTCCCTTACTTAAGGAAGTAGGGGTAGGGTAGGGCCTCGGGCCAAAAAAGTAAGTAGGAGCGGGCTGAAAAAAGAAGATCACATCGAGCCAAACCTCCGACAGCTCCCAAGGCGACACCCGCCTCGCTTTCCTCCGTGCTCCAGATGTCAGGCATATTCATGACCTCAACTCGCTCAGTTCTCAGCGTCAAATGTTTCACCTGAACTTCCGACTGATTCGCCACTTGTTAGGAGATACACATACGACGTCACTTCGGTCACTTCGGTCCAAACACCACCACTCTCTCGGTCATGGCCCATGTCTCCAATTCTGGACATCTACGGACCTCGAACTCCTCGTTTCACGAAAATGCTTCCGATCGTTCTCCGTTCCCAGGGTCCGATTCCCCCCAAACCGCCGTGCTGCTTCCGCTCTTCAGCGCATTGGAAGCACCGGGGCGAAACCGCTTGGGACGCCCCTTCGCGGAACAAACCGCCACACCCGTCCTGGAACCGGGCACTCCGCTGAGGCGACGGACGACGAGCTGAGATCGTTTGGAGCGCCGGGCGATCATGTCGTTGAGCTTGGTGAAGGATGCCACCTGGGCGTCGACGGCACGACGAGCGACTGTGGAGCGAGCATCGGAGTGAGGCGAGCATCTGGCTTTTCGGAGTGATCACTGGGTTGCTTAAGAAGTTGAAAGTCATGGTGGGTCAAATGGTCGGAGGCGATCACATCCTGAAGGAGATTCAGTCTACGACTATCTTGGTCAGTGGAGGGATCCCTCTAAGTCTTCCTCCGTGTTCCTCTCTCTCAATCCCTTATGTCTCCGCAAAAAGGTTTTGAACGCTTGTTGGACCGATCAGTTTGTCGTATGCCTCTCAATCCCTTATGTAACCTTCAAACGCTTCGAATGGGATTCCCTTTTGGACCGACCGTGCAGCGGAGAAAGAGGCGAGACCGAGCCATCATCGGGGGCATCCGAGGCGAGGGAACGCGATGGAAAAGGGAAGGCAAGAGAGCTGGTCCGAGGGAACGAGCTGATCCAGCCGAAAGGAATCTGATCCCAGACGCTGATCCCTGACGCTGATCAGGCGAAGTCGAATCTGATCCGGCAATTGCCCTCTTTTTGCCCGTCTTCCTGGTCGTCCGATACTGAGCATCACACCCGGTCCCACTCTGCTTGAGCTGCCAACGCCCTCAGAACCGTGACGAAATGAAGCGGATCGAGCGCCGGCTGGGGGAGAAATGGCTGCTTCACACCCCGTGGCTCGAGTGGAGCCTCACGGATCTTGTTTGGACATGGAAGTCTCTCTCAGCTCTTGCTTTACAATGGCAAGGACCAACATGTGATTCTTTGGGCGTGTCAAAGTGGAGATCTTCCCACCAAAGACCGCAAAAAGGAGCCGTAACACGTTTTCCATCGACAGTGAGGACCGCACGGGCGCTCTTTGGTGCTTGACTTTTGTACCTGCCACATGGATCCGGATGATGAAGATTTTGAGGCACTCAGAAAAGTTTTTGAGAAAAGGAACGGATTCCATCGCTATTAGGTTGGAGGCCATTGCTTCTAGGTTGGATTCCATCGCTATTGGGTTGGAGGCCATTCTCTCCCTTTGGACGGAGACAATCTGTTCATCACATTGATACTGATTTTCAATGTCTGCTTTCCGTTTCAAAGCTTGGTCTCCTTGCATCTTCATTCCAAAAAACAACGGCTAAACAGAACAAACTCCAGAAAAAACAACCGAAGAACCGCAACACACCAAAAAGCCGCCACCTCTCTTCACCAAAAAATAATACCTCCCCAACATACCAACCTACACCCGCCTCTAGCTTGACCGGCGCGGTGTCGTGCTTCCAATCGGCGATGTGCTTGCTGGCGTGCTCGGAGATGTCCGGACACTCGGAGGCGGCGCGCAGGTCACAGACCGCCACTTGACCCGTGGTGCCCTCCTTGCTGGAGACCACCGGCTTTAAAGTGCCAGTGGGAGTATGATTGTTGCCAGCGTCCGAGGCATTCTCTTCCTCCATCTTGAAGAGATCATCAATTTCCAAGGGGATGGCATCCGCATTCAAACCCTGCGCGCCATGCAACTGTTGGACAAATTTGTGACGTTGATCCACACGCAGCGACCAGTCGTAGGTGTAAGGCTGAATCATTTCATCATCCACAATCACCACCTCAGGGATGTTCATCGAATCTCTGCATTCGATTTCGGGCCCGAACATTGGATTGACTCAGTTGGAGGAACAAATCCCCATGTCCAAACTAATGTCAAAGTGGGGAAGAGACTCAGCCCAAAAAATGCCCACTGATGGCTTTCCGGAGTAATGTTGCACTTGAGACTGCTCACTTTCACTGAGAAAACACACCAAAACAAAGAAAAACAGTACATGGACCGACCAAGATCAGTACCTTTGGTGCCTTTCACTCACCTCACTTACCGTCCACGTGTTGTGCCTCCACGTCCACGTCGAACAAGCGACGGTTCCGGAGCGTCTCCGCCAAGAGCTTGGCGGCATTCTTGGCACGTTCCTCAGAGACGCCCTCGGTGATGGTGAAGACGCGGATGTGGCATTGACGCCACATGCGATGCTGCAACAACAACCAGGAGAGGAGAATCATAAAGCCACCTCAGCAAACTTGCCGTGTCTTTCCCCTTCTTTTCCCAATTTCCTTCCTTTTGTTTGGTTCAGATGTCAATCAGTTCAGTCAATTCGCTTCTTCAGATCCAAAAAACACCACACAAAACACCACGCCAAGAAGAAGACGAAAACGGATCGAGACCCGACGTCGACCCGCCAGCCGCGGCGCCATCGTGGATCATCCACCAGACGTCAATGGTGCCCACGACGGCTTGCAGCGGCATGTCCTTGAGACCTTTCACCGCTAA